AAGTGCCATATGAGCACACAGTCTGATTAGTCCCACAGGAGAAAATGCACATAACTACACCTATGCACAGATGGAACACATGATTTCATTACAAAGAAAGAAAATATCAAAACCTCCTATGGCCATCAGAGGTAAAAGAAGTAGGAGTTTGTTTCTATAGATATATTTTAATGTTGGTAAACATTTCCCCTAGTTCAAACTTTGAAACTGATCTTTTTCATAGATTTATAGGCTGCTTCAACAGTTTAACTGTGCCTAAAAATAAAATTTCCTTGTCTTGCCTAAAATAGTGCACTTACTGTATCTTTTCTAAGAAAGTAATACGCTGAAAGACAAAGGATCGGCGCTTACGCAGCATTATTGTTAATCCAGCATTGTGCATATTACTAGTACATCACTGACATAGCTCTGATATAGCAGCTACAAAAATAGTGACATTACATGAATGCTGTTGTTCTGCAAGGAAATTCCAGGCATGGATGTTTTACAATAGAATGGATTTTTTCAGAAGAGTTTTCGTTTGATTTAGGTGCCATGATCTGTTATGATTGAAAAAAGATACTTGATAAGAGGGTATAAAATAATTCACATTCAAAACACTGTTTCAAGCTCAAAACTGTTTCACTTTACTCCAAAACACTGCTTTGTTTTCAAAACTGGATATCATGGTAATTCTAGGAAACTTTTGAGCTCCAATAGAATTTTTTAAAAAAAATTGAAACAAAATTGTTTCTAAACAATCAAAACTGATTGATGTGAAACTATTTCATACCTGAAACAAATATTTTGTGCTCAAATGGCTTTTTTTAAAATCCAAAATAATTTGAATTTCAAAAGTGTTTTACGCCAGTAGTATATGTTATAATAAAACAATCCTTCTCCTACAGGTTGCCTACTCCCTGTTCATGAAAAGGGTAAACCTAAGTGGGTGGCCTCGCGTAGTAGCTGAAGATGTGATTCGGCAAGCTCACAGGCTGAAAAATGAGATGTTTGTGATGGGAGGAAAGATAAAAGGAAAAACACTGCTCCCTTTACCAGAGAACATGGATGCTCTGGACAGTGTCTCAGAAGTCTTTGACAGGTGGATGCCTTTCAATTATGTCTGCCATCTTTGTGGGGAGTGTGAGAGGATAGGCAGGACTCTTTCAATTACAGTAGTCCTAGATGTACGACCACAATTAAGCCCAAAATCTCTGTTGTTAAATGAGACATATGTTAAGTGAGTTTTGCCCCTTTTTACAACCTTTCTTGCTACAATTGTTAAGTGAATCATTGCAGTTGATACGTTAGTAACCCGGTTGTTAAGTGAATCTGGCTTCCCCATTGACTTTGCTTGTCACAAGGTCGCAAAGAGTGATCACATGACCTTGGGGCACAGCAACAGTCATACATATGAACCAGTTGCCAAGCATCTGAATTTTGACCATGTGACCATGGGGATGCTGCAAAGGTCATAACCGTGAAAAACAGTCATAAGACACATTTTTCAATGCCGTTGTAAATTTGAATGGTCAGTAAATGAACTGTTGTAAATTGAAGACTACCTGTACAAATAAATAGATACATATACTATTAGATGGCAATTATTATAATCATCTAAATGTAGATGATATATGGATATATTCAGTTAGCCCTTATGTTACTCCCCATAGCACCTTGTTCCCTTCAGTTACTCAGGAAATCACATATTGTCCATTCATCCATCACTTTTTATTAAACTCTTGCCCAGAGCTACTGTCAAAAGATTCCAAAGTTTGCACTAAGTTTATTTATTTATTTTATTTATTTATTAATTACATTTATATCCCGCCCTTCTCCTTGCGGACTCAGGGCGGCTGACAATTGGATAAAATACTAACATATTATACATATTATACCTAATTAAAATTTGATTAAAAAGAAATATTTAAATATGTCAGATTAAAAGTAATTAAAACCCCTTTAAAATCCCTTAGGCCAGTCCNGTCTTGAGGGCGCGGCGGAAGGAAGGGAGATCAGGGATCACCCTGATCTCTGGGGGCAGTTCGTTCCAGAGGGTGGGAGCTCCCACAGAGAAGGCCCTCCCCCTTGGGGTCGCCAGCCGGCACTGTCTGGCTGACGGCACCCTGAGGAGACCCACTCTGTGAGAGCGTACAGGTCGGTGGGGGGTAGTCTGTGGCAGGACTGTAACATCTCTTTCTTTTGACTGTGCTTATACTGTGTGTGGAATCCAGTTTACAAAATTGAGTCCAATCCCATAATCCGGATCTTCATTAGACAATGTTTTAGCTTTTTTTTTTTTTACGTGGTTCTTTAGTATGTGCAACAGAAAACATGCTGGACAAAGGAACCCCAGTTCCCACAGTATGAAGTCTTATAGGCTATATATATATATATATGATCTGTTAACTACTGAATCAAAGGCTAAGATTATTTCCTCTTTACTTTTAAATCTTCTCTGTACTTTTCCCCCCCAGCCTATCTGCAACTGTGGACAGTTCCCTGCTACACTCCATTGAAACAATAATCATTGACTGGTCTCATCAGATACGAGATATCTTGAGCAAGGATTCTGCCCAGCCTCTCCTGGATGGCTTAAACCCGTTACCCAGAGTAGAATTTGATTTCTGGTACAGTAGGCAGGTCAACCTGCAGTGCATAAATGAGCAGGTAGGCCGAAGAGCTTCTTTCAGGTTTGCAAGGCCATCAGCCTGTAGTACTGAAGACTGACATGTTTTCTGATCTGGTTTTTGCTTTTCCCCATCAGCTTTATGCACCTCAAGTCAAAAAGATTGCTGACATTTTAGAGCGAGCAAAAAGCTGCTATTGGCCAGCACTTAAGAATGTCTTCAAGGATGTATCTGCAGGTAAACTCTATTTCCTAGAGAGTCCAGTTGCGTAACCTATGGAAGTGGCTATTTCATGTAATTCTGGAAATCAAAGGAGGGGCAACCAACTTAATATAATACACTATATTTTATAGCCATATTTTTTAAACAGAGGAGTTCCAGGGCCTACTGCTTTTCCTAATCCCCATTCCCTTCCCCTTCCTTCAGATTCCTGCATTTGCAGGTTCCAAGTCCAGCCAACCTGAACATTATTATGAAAAAGTTCTACAAAACTTTTAATCAGTCCTCTTTCTTTCTTAATTCACTTACCCTGAAACATTCCTTTTATTCAGGTTTGAAAGAAGCCGATGATATTAACCTGTATTTGCAACCTCTAAAAGTCACACTTGAGGAAGTGGAACAAGCTGATTATCACCAGGTATGTCAAAAGTGGAGAAATAATGTTTTGAGAGCTACCATGTTTCTTGATGTAGGAAGCTTACAGGCCACTATATCACTTTTAAAAGGCATCTCGATCTTTTCAGCTGTGGGGGACTTCACAAATAGGAATGGCCTGCCCTCTGCTTCTCTAGCTAGTTACTATGGGCAGTGAAGTCCAACACATCTGAAGAACTACTGGACAGCCATTTGTCCGAAATGGTATAGGGTTTCCTGCCTGAGCAGGGGGTTGGACTAGATGACCTTCAAGGTCCCTTCCAACTTTACTACTATTATTATTATTATTGTTGTTATTATTGTTATTATTGTTATTATTGTTATTATTGTTGTTATTATTATTATTATTATTATTATTATTATTATTATTATTATTATTATTATTATTATTATTATTATTAACTCTAGGCTGGGTCAGGTGCTGTACGCGATGGTAGCATCAGAGAATTCCCTGGAAGATATTATCACACAAAGAACAAGTAAAGATCCTGGCTAACTATTTAGGATTAAATTAAATATTGAAAGTCAGCATAAATCCAATCATAGAGATTGGAGGAGAGGGCGAATGGCTGATTCTAGAATGATTGGGAATAAGTTATTACCACTTCCAACACAAAGAATGAATGGCCTTCTCAAAATCCAAATATTTTAGGAGGCCAATTATGACTTGTAAATAGAGACCATAAGCAGGAAACAAGGTTTGGCAACATTTATGCTTATTATGATCAACCTACACAAATCTACTGAAATATAAGGGCTCGCCTATGGGTTTCATTGAAGTGCATCAGGCCCCGTTGGAGAAGTCAACTTGCTTGAAGTGTAAGACTTTATCAGTACAGTAAAAGCTCATTCTTGTCCTCTTATGAGTCTGTTATCCTGGAATCTCTTAAACTGGGGGGAATCTTCTCATGCAGCACAACACATTCTAAATCCGCTCTATTAAGCATAAACCAGAGAGTATGAAAGCCATTTAGGGGACAATCTATGTTACTGAAAACTTTTGCCCATAGAGTGCTATACTGTCTAGAGGAGAGTTTCCCAACCTCAGTAATGCTTAAGATATGTGGACTTCAATTCCCAGAATTCCCCAGCCAACATAGTCTAGACTCAGGGCTTTTCAACCAGTGGTACGGGTACCACCTGTGGTACATTGGCACCTGGCAGGTGGTACGCGACCATCCTAGAAAAGTGGTAGCGGGGGAGGGAATGTTGCAGCATCTCCAGGGTCTTGTGATTTACATTCAGATGCTTGGCAACTGATTCATATTTATGACAGTCACAGTGTCCCAGGGTCATGTGAAGTGACCAAAACCTGCTGCAACCACCCAGCAGACGGGGGGGGGGAATAAAAACCAAACACCCCCCCACCCCACCCCCACTGCCAATCCTCAACTGAAATGCTCACAACAATGAAAACCTCGGACAGGAGGAAGAGCGCCACTGGGTGGGCAGGCAGGTGTCTTGCTCGACTGTGGCTTGGGAGGCACTTTTTTCAGTGCCATTGTAACTTCGAATAGTCACTAAGCAAACTGTTGTAAGTCAATGACTACCTGTACTTTATCACTTTTTTCCTTTTTTTTTTTTTTTTGGTCATCAAGGTTTTGACACCTTGCTAGGCGACTGGTGGTACTCAGATGTTGCATATCCTAAAAGTGGTACAATGGGTGAAAAGGTTGAAAAGCCCTGGTCTAGAGGGTCTCCTTGCCCTGAAATAGCATGCAAACACAATCCCCCATATGATGATTAAAACAAAAAAGAGGGTAAACTAATACATTATGTTTGCTGCTAGCTGCTTCTTTTTCTTTAGAATTCTTTCCTGAGGTTCTGAGAATGAGAATGCCTTGGGCACATGCAAAGTTAATGCACATGTGCATTCTTTGTTTATAGTTGGCTAAGGATTTTTCTCTAGCCTGAGGACACTATTCACACATTCAGAAGTGTGAATAGGATTTTCAGATTAGTAAAGATGATTTTGATCAGCATATCATAAAAATATGCAATAATATTAAAATGTTTATTTCACTTTGCTGAGACTCCCATTCTGCTGTTTCCATACAGGTGTCTTCACACATCAATTCCATCATGTACACAGTATGCTTGATCTGGTCTAATTCTGAATATTACAACATTCCATCCCGGGTCATTGTCATTTTGCAGGAGATTTGTAATCTCTTCATTGAAATGGTATTTCACTGTGAAAATAAACATTCTTAATTGAGAGGGGGTTTTCCTTATCACTCCAATGTTTGCAACCACTGTAAAGGTGCAGGTCTATATATATGTTGTATATAGTATGTTTAAATGCGTATTATGTATGTGTACGCTTTGAGAGCAAGCAACTAAATTTCATTTTTAATGTGTGCCATTGTGCCATTTCTTCTCTCACAAACTCTGCTCTCTACTCTTTGCCATTGCAATTCCATATGCCAATCTAAGACATTTCTACTATACTAAATAGTTCAGTTCCATGCTGAAAAGACTTAAATACCAGTCTAAACAAAGCAGACTTTCATCTGGTAACTATGATACTGAAACAACCCTTCAAGCACGACACAATTGATTGCCAAGCTGTTAATGACATTTCCGTTACACTGTCTGGTTTTATAAGCCCTGCTCATCTTTGCCTCTCTTTCTGTTTAGACACGTAACTTTTTGAGTCCTGAGGAAGTGCTGAAAGGCTTGCAAGGCGAAATTGAGGAGGTTTTGGCAGGAATCAAGGTGGCCATTGCTGTGATTGAGAAACTCTACAAGACCTATGACCTTTGTTCCACAGATATGATGCCTTTTTTTTTTAAGGTTAGCCACAACAGCAGCAACGGAAGACCCGGATGAATCTTAGAGGGAACATTATTGTAACCTTCTCACAGCATGGGAAAGAAGAGGGCGGTTTGCAAAGTATTACACGCATAGGAAGTCCTTAGTAAATGACTATAATTGGCTCTGGGAACTCCACTGCTAAGTGATGTGTTCACAAAGTGAAAAATCACATGACTGTGCCAACATACGATGGCAGTCCTGGCAGTACCAGTTGTTATGCATTCTGTCATATGACCCCAATTTGTGACTTCCTGCTGGCTTGCCCATTGACTTTTCTTCTCAGAAGCCAGGAGTCATAAATGGCAATTCCACGACCACAAAATGGTGCAAATGTCAGAATTGTGTGCCAATTGCCAAGTTCCCAAATTGTCATCATGTGACCATGGGTGCAACTTTGAGGAGCTGTAAATTTCTTCATTCAGCACTGCCTTAGCTTTAAACAGTTGCTGAACAAGTGGACATTAATGGGGGACTACCTCTATACAACATCTGCCTGTACTTCCTTTGGCAGGAAATATCTGTCCTAATGAACTTAAGAGATAAATTGGCAAATGTATCCTGTTGCCAAAAATTCAGCTCCTTAACAGCTCCTTACAATTAAAAAGCAAGATTCTCACAAAAACTTTAACCAGCTTATTTCAAAGAGAAAAGGTATTAGGAAATGGGACAGCTAAACTGGTGAGGCAACATATATTCATCTACCATAATTGGATCATCTTTCTTTCGCCCATGTGCACACCTTGGGAAGAAAGACCATACACACAAATCACATTATTTCATTAAAGATGCCCCCTATGACCACCACAAACATAGGTTGGAAAGAATTTAAGAAGCCACGTTCTGCAAACATTTCCTACATCTTTTTTTTTTTGAGACCTGATATTAGCTCTATTGCAGGAAGGTGGGCAGTAAACGAATTTACTAAATAAAATAAAATATTTTTATTTATGTTTTCAGGATAAAGAACCTCAGTACTGGGAATTTCCCTCTACTCTTGTCTTTACAAGAATGAATTTATTTTTTCACAGACTGAAGACCATAGAGGTAGGAATTAAGTAGCTGCTATAAAATGTGAAACGACTGCAGTAATAATTAGCATAACACTATATACTGTATTCTTATAGAAAAGCAGATTATTTATATAGCATATCAGTAATTATAAAAATCTAAACTTGAAAGTCCTACTCCATTTTTTAAAACTCTGTAATTAGACAAAATTGTTTTGTGGACAATGGCTCTTAAAAAAAATCTGTGAATAACTTGGTTATTTGTCTTTTTAAGGAACTTTATATGACTGCAATTGAATTTCTCAAATTGGAGAAAATTGAACTGGGTGGTGTGAGAGGCAACATCCTAGGGAGTTTGGTGTTCCAAATTTATGAAGAGGTTCTTGAACATGTGAAAGTTTTTGCAGAATGCAAATATGATCCCTTAGACCCAGCAGATGAGGTTGGTTCTTTTTATGATAGAAAACAGATGTACTAATAAAACTGATTAATTATTCACTTAGTACAGGGGTAGTCAACCTTGGCTCTTTTATGACTCGTGGACTTCAATTCCCAGAATTCCTGAGCCAGCTTAGCTGGCTCAGGAATTCTGGGAGTTGAAGTCCACGAGTCATAAAAGAGCCAAGGTTGACTACCCCTGACTTAGTATAACCTAGGAAATCCTGTTGTTTATAATTGCTAGAGCAACAAATGCATTTCTTGTAAGGTAAATTGGGCCAGATGCTTCTCTGATCGGGAGTGAGATTTAATAATTTCTGAAAGTCCACATATATTGATTTTGCCTGATCTAATTTATTCTATTACTTTTTATATTTAAAGCAATTTGATGAAGATTATGCAGATTTTGAGATCAAAATCCAGGATTTGGATAGGCGTTTGGGCACCATTTTCTATCAAGGATTTGTTGACTGTTCCAGTTTTGAATCAGCTGTCAAGGTATTCGTATTCTTTACCTGTTTCTTATCTAAAACACTGGTAGTAGGACAAGTAGCTGCTTCTGTTCTGGACAGAGGAAAACCCTTTTTATGACCAGCTAACCTGGAAGTCTTTTCCAATTCTATCTCTGATCTGAAGAATTGTTTTTCTAATCGGTGGTCAATATGGAATAGCATTACTGTAACTTCTCAGTCTCTTTCAGAATTAAACAGCTCCTAAGATCAATCCCCACCAATATATTTAACTCCACTCTAGCCCTCCAGAGACTGGGTAGACCAGTCCCACTATTGGCTGCCTAGGTTTTTCAGATAGAGAATAATTTACTGACTTGACAAAGGACTGGAAGTATTTCCAGAATTATTCATTTCACAAATCAGAAGAATTCTAATAGCACCTTTCAGAGTAAAAAAATTGATTAGGGAGCATAATTTTCATGAACTATTGTTCACTTCATCAGATGCCAGATTTCTTAAACTGTAGTTCATGAAAGTTTTGGCCATTAAGCAAATTTGTTAGGCTGGAAAGTTGCTACCAGATTTTTTTTTAAACTTTGGATAATATAGACTAATGTGGTTCTCCTCTTACAATATCTGCAATGGGAACCACCAGATTTCTTTCACATAGAATCATGAACTTTATGGATTTTATTAACAATCCAAATCAAGATCCTGGGGCCAAGAAATGGATAAATGAACTCTTGCCATTTCCAACTAATTATAATTAGGATTTCAAAAGATTTATCAGGAGTTAATATAGATTTGAAATGTATGTAAATCTGTTTCTTCATAGTATATTCCATTACTATCATCATCAGTAAAATATAGTTTCTAGTAATGGGCTGTTCTTTTGTTATGTTTAAAATCTATCTTGTCTGATTAGCAGTTTGAGAACACTGATATAAGGGTATCATTTTGAGGAAAACCGTGAAAAATGATGTAGGGTTTACATGCACAAAAATATCAATTCACCCATACTTCTATTACCATTTTTATCCCCATTATATTGGTGGGCAACAAAGGAAACAATGAGTTGTTGCAAAAAGAGTTGGTATTTGGAGTAGAGACAAATTTTGTAAGATGATGCTGAAACTTTTTGTTTTTTTGAAAAAGGAATTGCCTGGCTGAGTTCTGATTGATTTTATGATAGCTACAAAATTTTAGAATTGCTAAAACCCTAAGGGAGCAATAAAGCATTATTACCATGAACGGGGGAAATATATTTTAAAGAATAAACTGTTCGATTCATGCTGCTCAAAGTACATGTTGTGTCCCAGTTTCTTTATGTAGGAAATAGATTCCTAAATGCCAAGCTGTGCAAGGAAAGAGACCAATAGTAGCTTTCACTCTGAATATAGGACAATGGAGGCATTGTTATTGGTGCTGTTGCATTCCTTGCATTCCTCCCATGGTTACCTTGGTTCAATAACTTCTTCAATAACTTGCAAATCCTACTACAGCACAAAAGAAGACAGTGGAACCAATGTTATTTTGTGCAGGCAGTTGGCTCTTTTTGTTACCTTTAAGATTACAATCCTATTTATCCATTTACCTTGCAGGTTAATGCCATTGATATATGGGGATGAAGTAGCATACCAAGAAGTATGACTAGGAAAAACTTCTTAAAGAACCTCAAAAATTTTCTGCAGATGTATATTGAAAGATAAGGGATACATTCCATATATGTATGTGTATATGTATCTACAGACATACTTATTCGTACCACTTTTTTTTCTCCAGCAAATCCATATGTTTTCATCTCTATTGGAACGACCATTGATCAAAGCAGATGCCGCTCCCCATTACGCTACACTTTTGGAGATGTTCAATGTTGAATTGGACAATGCAAAGATTTTGTATGATGCCCAGATAGCTGCTACTAAAACTGGAGATCATGTGCCTCCAATTAGCAAAAATATGCCACCTGTTGCTGGGCAACTGAAATGGGCTTTAGAACTCCAGGAACGATTGCAGATCCCAAGGAAAGAGTTGCATGCCATTGATCATCCGTAAGTAACAATCTGTCATTACCGACTGTCCAGTCTTTAGTAATATTTTCCCTGGAGTAGAATTACAGGCTATTAGCTTTGTTCAGGCTAATGTTAATTAAATTCTATTTCCCTTCTGGAACTGAGGGATTTCTTTCCTCTTTGCAGGGTAATGGTCAGTTCTGAAGCCAAACTGATATATGGAAAGTACGATGAGATGATACGTTTGCTGAAAGGTTACCGTGAAAGAATTTATGCAGAGTGGATCGCCAGAGTTGACAGAGAATGCCAGTTTAATCTAGAACAACCACTGATCCAAAGAGATCCAGAAACAAGACTTATTAGTGTCAACTTCAGCAAAGAGGTTGGTAAATAATGCAGAAGCGTGCTAGCATCATTTCAGTTCGATGGTCAGCTTGACTGCAAGTTTTTAGTCTTCTCCAAAATGGCAGACTCCAGATATACAGGACCCCTGATTCTCAGCCAGCACTGACTATTCTGTCTGGGAATGATGGGCATGATCCAGCATCTATGTACGATGCTTCTTTAGTACAGGTAGTCCTGGATTTACAATATTTCATATAATGACCATTTAAAGTCACAACAGCATGGAAAAAAGTGACTTATGAGACGGTTGCAGCATCCCCATGGTCACATGATCAAAATTCAGATGCTTGGCCACTGACTCAAATTTATGACGGTTGCAGTGTTCCAGGGTCATGTGATCAACTTTTGCGACCTTCTAACAAGCAAAGGCCATGAGGAAACCAGGTTCATTTAACAACCTTGTTACTAACTTAACAACTGCAGCGATCCACTTAACAACTGTGGCAAGAAAGATTGTAAAATGGGGCAAAATTCACTTAATAACTGTCTCGCTTAGCAACAGACATTTTGGGCTCAATTGTGGTCATAAATGGAGGATTGACCGATCCTAATAAAATCTTTCCCAAAATGATAATCTGTTACATAGCAGAAAGAGTATCCTTACTGGATTTTGAAATTAATTCTGTTTAAAGAAGATTAATTAGGTTGCTTATGAGCTTTCAAACTTCACAGGACCTTGATTGTACCAGTAAACCAGGTGATATGTTCTTTATTTGATTACTGAGTATCCAAAGTCTTTTGCTACTCAATAAAACCTGTAAGAATTCCTTATACAGGCTAAGGAGGAGATGGGCTTTAGCTACTATCATCATAGTCTAACTCCCGGATTTGGATCCTCATAGCTGTTCTTTGCACTGAAAGGGAAACTTCTTCAACAACGTGAATAGCAATCAGACTTAAATATTAGCCACACACAGCTTTATGTAGAAATGGAATTGAACTTATTTGAACATTATAGGAATGGATAGAACTAGATTGGTTTATCCCTGTTCATTTACTTACTCCCTGTTGTGTTACAAGCATATCCAGCCAATAGCCCATCACATTTTTAGTTCAATTTTGTTTTCTACATTTGGAAAAGCACTTATTTTTCACTGCTGCATTCCTATACAGCTCATAGCTGTTCTCCGTGAAGTCAAGTACCTGAACTTTCAGCAGCAAAAAGAAATTCCAGACAGTGCTGGCAGCCTCTTCTCTCAGAACGAAACTTTGCAGAAGTTTGTGGACAACTTAGATCTCATTGTTGGCTGGTACAATAAGGTATTTATTGATCAGCTGCCTGATTGTAAATCACACTCCTTCACTAGAAATAGAGGTCAGTATGGCTAACAATAAAATGGAGATAAAATAAAGTTGGAATTAAAGCATTAAGATTCATAAAGGTTCAAAGAAAGACATTAATTGTAGCAAATGTACCAATCTTTTTTTCCAACAGCTTGTGAATTTAAGGTCAAATAGTTTGTCTTAATCAAAATGTGTTTGTCCAACAGTGGAATGGGTACTATCTTCCCTAGCGATTCATTCTTGATTTAGCAACCACTGAGAAAGCCCTCTCTATGGATGAAAGGTCCCAAGGATCTTAGAAAGTAGGTAAACTCTGTTGTCTTTCAGATAGGCCTCAAGACAACTAATAGTTCATAAACAGTCTTTGAGCTGTGGGAATCTAATAGAAATAATTTAAATCCATCTTGCTGAGTTGAATCAATTTCATTAGTTCTTAATCAGTAGAAGCTCTGAGTCACAATAAGCGATGGTCTGAATAATGATTCATTTCTTAGGCAATGATCAGTCCATCGCAACAGAATTATTAAACCTAAATTTTATGCCATCAAACACAGAAAACTGGAATCAAATATACTTTGATAGATAAATAGTACCAGAGGCTAATTTGGACAGGCCACATAATCCTGAGCCCCATTTTATACAGTAGTTTAGATAGAGCAAATGCTAAATCTACCCAAAAAATGCAAGGCTAGAGAACTCTGGTACATTTCTCAGACTACACATTCATATATTGGAAAGGGAGGCTGGACAAAATCTCTATCCCAAACACACACAAAATGATGACAGATGACAGATCATTGGAAATCTGCCTCCCTGTTGCCCAGATATTGTCTGCTGATGCATCCAGCTAAGCTTGAAGAAATTAATTCTCCAAATGTCTCTGTGATGCAGAATCATTCAGAATCCAGACCTGAGTGGCTATTTTTCAGTGCCCTGAATTGGCATTCAGCAATAAAATACTCAACTCAGAGAAGTCTTATCAAGACAGTGGGAGTAATCAAATATTGTTGCAACTATCTCCCGATGTCGTGTTTTCTTTTTGCTTTTCGTTATAATCTTAGCAGCTTCCCATTTTCTTCCTCTGTTCCTTTTTTTAAGACAGATCCCTCCTTCCTTTAATTCCAGTAGATTATAAAGTTGGCACAACATATCTTTCTTTGTCAGGAAACAAGGAGGAATGATTTCATGTATCCATCCGTTCATTATGTGAATAAATTGGAAGGTATTATAATTGGCTCATGAGGCATTACTTAGATTGTCCTTTGAAAAAAGCAACAGCCTGTTTCTTTCAGAGTTCAGCCCTGCAAATAAAACTTGTACTGTATATAAGTCTGCAAGCTACGCAGGTTTTCTTAAACTTGCTGAATATTTAGAATAAGGGCTAAAACAAAATATGCCGCTATCAAGACAATACCATATGCAGTATCCATAAAACGAATTAAGAATGCATTCTGAAATAAACTATTTATTTTTATTTGATCTATCCATTTTTAGATCAAGAGAACAATTTTGCCAGTAGAACTTCCTCTGGTCAAAACTGAGCTGGAAGAAATTGATGTTGGTCTACAGAAAGCTGAGACCAATGTGTTTTGGAGTAATGAAGGTACATTTATCTATTACAAGCTGGGATCTGCCCTGAAACTCATTATTTCCAAACTGGGGGGGGAGTATGCCTCCAAATATCAGTACCAGGAACCAAGAGCAGGAGAGGGATAATTTTTGTGTCTCTTTCTTGCAAGGACAACCAGAGACATTTCATTTGCTTAGAAGGGCCAGCAGTGCCATTCTTCTGTTCTTATGGCCTGTTGTTTCTAGCATCATGATACCAGATGTATTTCAGCGAAGAAAGTATGGGAATTGGATATTAAATCCATGGGAAAGTGTAGATTCTAGCTACTAACTAAGTTTCCCTTCCATTGCCCATCCAGGTGTTATGGATTATATTCAAGAGATGAGAAATGTTTTATATGATTTAGAGACAAGAATTCAAAAAACAAAATTAAATGTGGAGAATATCGGACAGCTTATGCAAGTGAGTAAGGCATTGCTACCAGACACTTAAAAAAAAGAAGGTTCCTTGATTTTAGTTTTAATTTTGTTCTGCTACAGATTTGTGACAGCTGCTGTGAAAGAATTTCCTATCCTGTTTCTTTAAAAAAGGAGGTTCCTTTATGTTAGTTTTAACAGAATAGGTTAACAGAATTGGAAGGGACCTTGGAGATCTTCTAGTCCAAACCCCTGCTCAAGCAGGAAACCCTATACCAGGGGTGTCAAACTGCCAGTCTGTGGGCCAGATGCGTCACAACGAAACCGCGCCCACCCCATTGCCGGCAATGGGGAAAAAGCTCCGATACGTCGCGTGACATCATATGATGTCGCAAGTTTGACATGTCTGCCCTATAACCATTCCAGACTAGTGACTGTCCAGTCTCTTCTTAAAACCCTCCAGTGATGGAGCACCCACAACTTCTGAATGCAAGCCATTCCATTGGTTAATTGTTCTCACTGTTAGGAAATTTCTCCTTAGTTCTAGGTTGCTTCTCTTCTTGATTAGTTACCATCCATTATTTCTTGTTTTGCCTTCTGGTGCGTTGGAAAATAAGTTGACCCCCTCTTCTTTGTGGCAGCCCCTCAAATATTGGAACACTGCTATCATATCACCCCTATTCACTAGACTAGAAAACCCAATTTCTGCAACCGTTGTTCATATGCTTTAGCCTCCATCCTTCTAATCATCTTTATTGTTTTATTCTGCACTCTTTACAGAGTCTCTACATTTTTTTTATAATATGGCGACCGTTTTATAAAGCCTTAGTAAGACCACACTTAGAATATGGTCTTACTAAGCCTTTATAAAGCGTTACTAATACTTCACGTGATCTTGATTCTATCCCTCTCTTAATGCAACCTAGGATTGCATTGGCTACAGATTTATTTGTGACAGCTGCTGTAAAGGAATTTCTTCCCATCCTGTTTCTTCTTACAGGAATGGTCAGCTAGTCCTTTGTTTGAAAGGAAAGACAACAAAGAGACAGCTCTTCTTGATCTAGATGGAAGACAAACAAATATAAACAAACGCTATGCAGCCATCAAAGATGCTGGGCAGAAGATCCAGAGTATGGTGGAGGTATGAAGGAGAGAGAGAAAGATAGTTTTCACAGTAATGTGGACCATTTGTTGAATATTACATTTGTCAACAGTACTAGTTTTTACACACCTTCAGGAACATAGGAAGTTGTCTTACCAAATCAGATTGGCTTCATCTCTTTCAGTATTGATTGTAGTATTGCCTCCATTGGTTGATTTTTATGAATCTTACTTAGATACACCAAGGATTAAATCCAAGATTTTTTTGCATATAAAGTATATGCATTATTGTTGAGCTCCAGCCCTTCTTTTACACCCTATGTGACTGCAATCAAGTACTTATATAATATGTTAAGAATGCTTACTTTTGAAATTACATCATTACTAGTACTTTTGGAAGTTTTTCCTCAGTGGAGGATGTTAGCCTGAAATATGTACTGTATACTCCTTGTAAAGTGTGAAGTACCAAGCTGAAATACTTTTGGAGGTAGCAAACAACAATATTTATTTTAAGTGATTGATTTAGAACATTTCTAGTCTTCATTTTGAAGATTCATAAAGCACTTTACAAAATGATTTTAAAATACTCAAGTAGCTGTAAAGTGTGCTCAAACAATATAAGTGGTCCAGCCTAATGAATAACTGTTATTTTGCTAATTGATTTTTTTATAAAATGACTTTTAAAAACCAATTGGCATTATGTAGATGCTTAACCTGAAGACAAGCTTACTGTATATCACTGGAGCAACTACTGAGAAAATCATGCCGATGCCTTACACTATATCTACCAGTACTCTGAACTGCAAAGTAAATCCTTGAATAACATTGAATTCATATTCACAGGAGGGTCAAGTAAAAAGGAGCTGTGGATTTAAATCTGTTTTTAATATGTAACCTCTCCCAGCCAAATAATTTTTATTCAGCCTCAGATTTCCATTTCTAACATTCCAGATAAAGTGCTTGTATTCATGAATGAAAGGAACATGATAAGTATTAAATAGTATTATTTATTTATTTATGTGCCATTAAGTTCCATTAATGGCATCAGAGAGGCATAATATTTTCTGGGTTTTCTATAAGTGGACCTTTAAGAATATATATATTTCAGCCGCAATTGTCCATTTAGCAAATGGCAGTGACACTGTGGTTTAGCTGTTCTTTGCATTCTAGCTCTGTTCCTGAAGTGACATTGTAAAAGTGATTGCAGTACAAGGAAAGTTTACAATATAGATTTGGAATTTCTCTTTTCTTGATCATATTCTTTCTGCTCTCATGAAGCCAGATCAGAGCCATGTTACTCAAAGCAGTTCCTTAAAGTTCCAGGTGGCTTCTTCCAAGAAAGAGGATACTGGTTTGTATTAAATGTCCATAGCTTAATCTATAAGTAGGAACTGCTATAAGTAAAATTGAGATGTACATCTCAAATGTGAGTTTGCTTGATCTGTTATTCAGAAGTGTACTTCTGATAGGCTATGTAAGATATAAAAGGCATGTTATGGCCTATAAACCATATATGTCCTAGAGATGCCCAATTTGAACAGGCCTGCAAAACAAAGTTGTATCCTCTGGCTTTTGTTCTCTACCAAAAATTGATACTCCTACTTTATCTTGTCTATTTTTCTTTTCTTTTGTTAGATGTTTAAAAAGCTAAGAAAACCATCCACGCTTTTTCAATCTTCTTCTTGTCCCATGTTTGTTTTGGACCCTCATCCCTTCTCTGTATAATGGCAGAGCTGCCTGAACATTCTTCTTTTGTATCAATCATTTTTTAATTCAATCCAAGTTTATGTAGCATTCATTCAGTCTTGACCTAGCTCTTCTTGTTTTACCACACTATTTTTAAGTTCCTATTTTCACTGCATTCAGCTTACTTTCTCCTGACATATCCAACTCTTAGGAAAGTAGGCAGAAATACAGTTGTATATACAACTGTTTTTGCTTCTTTAGACAAGCATTCTTTGCAACAGTTCACATATTATGTACTACCCACTGCCAGGCATAGATGCTATATTTTATGTAAACTGCATAGTCATTCCATAAGCAAATCATTTTTATATTTTAATATTCTTGTAGTTATCCTATCTACACCACCAACCAGGCAATTTTTCAGTGTTCTTGCAGCGTGTATTATTTCCTTTTTATTCATTTTTTTATACCAGCACTTATAAAATTCATTTCAAGTCTACTTTTCAACATATCACTATTATTCCTGTGAGAATCTCTAAAATATTCCTTTTCCCTCACTTAATTATCACCCTGAATTTCCTCCATTTATTTTTAATTCCATCCACTTTGCTGCAGGCTCCATATTTGCCCCTCATGGCCTACTTCAAAAATAGTTCCTATTTTCCATCAAAATTGCTGTTTTTTTCACTGCTTCTTTTATTGTTAAACATTCTCCACTTTACTTGATAAAGATCTTTGCACATTTTTCTCTCCGAATACATTATACAATATATTTCTCTCATTCTCTCTCTCTCTCTTTTTTTTTTTTTGCAGCCATCATTCCTATGCATGGAGATTTTCACTTCACCATTCCAGGGGCCTTTTTTTCCGTACTGCTGTGGCATCTCCTTTTCTTCCACAGAGCTTCCCTTTTTCTCTGCCCATCATTCATTCATTCTGCTTAGAGATCTGTCTACTAATATTTTCTTATCCTTTCTTTTTCTGCAGCCATTTGAATTTCAATACTTTTATCTCCTTTCTTTTTCTTCCTTAATCATTTTTGTCCAAGAACCACAAATGATATCAACAAAAGAGAGAGAGAGAGCTCTCTCAGGGACATTCTAACCCTTTATCTCCTTATATTCTTCATTATTACTCTCAATTTTTCATCATAAATAATAAAATTGGTCACAGCAGTACCACATGCTGCACTCCCTGTTAGCATATTTTGGTCAGTCTGCCAGAAGCGCAATGAAGGCCTGGTTTTAATCCAAAAATGCTTGTGTTGTGGTATCTACCTCAGATTTCTAATCTAGAAATTGTCTTGCAAATCAGTGTAAAGCTAACAGCATTCCCCCCCCAGTTAAAAAGTACAGACAATGCTCTGAGGGGAGCATGCCCTACTTTAAAAACAGAAATGTTACAGAAGGAGTTCCTGTCTGGGAGAGAAAAAACAATGCCCTAAATGCACTACATGGTAAATAATTTGTTATACAGGTAGTCCTCGACTTATGACCACAACTGAACTCAAAATTTCTGTTGTTAAGTGAGATATTTGTTAAGTGAGCTTTGCCCCATTTTACGACCTTTCTTGCCTCAGTTGTTAAGTGAATCACTGCAGCTGATAAGTTAGTAACTCGGTTGTTAAATGAACCTGGTTTCCCCATTGACTTTGCTTGTCAGAAGGCCACAAATATGATCACATGACCTTGAGACACAACAATGGTCATAAATATGAACCAGTTTCCAAGCATCTGAATTTTGATCACAACATCAGGGAGATGCTGCAAAGGTTGTAACTGTGAAAAACCATCATGAGTCACTTTTTTCAATGCCGTTGTAATTTTGAATGGTCACTAAAAGAACTATTATTAGTCAAGGACTACCTGTATTTATTTGGTTCTGCCATCATTGTTGATGCAGAGCCATATGTGATGTGATATGCTTAAATTGAGCATATTTTTAATCTCTTAGTTCTCTTCCATAGTTTCTCTTTACTGAATACATATTGGAAATTACATCATGCGTGTGTGTGTGTAAATTCTCGTTACTGAAGTATTGCTGAGTGACTCTTTTTATGACTATTAAAGCAATTACTATTGACAGAAAGGATCTGATTAAACCTGATTCATTGCTTCTCCGAAATATTTTCTTTTCTATCTCCAGGAAAATGCAGAGTTGTTCAAGGCTGACAAGACAACTGTAATATGGTCTCATTATGTAGAATACATAGATGAAATAATCTTAGATGGATACTTTAAGTTTATACGCAAATCACTGCAGTTTCTACTCAGCAATATGGCAGCAGATGTAAGTAAATGAAACTTCAGAAGTATTTTTTTTCTTTAATGCAACCTTTAAAACACAAAGGTATTAATGGGCACAATCTTGCATTTGTTACTAATTTGAAGATGTTTGCATCAATAAATTAAAACTCTGTGTTCAAAGACAGTTTTTTAGTATAGGTAGTCCTTACTTCTGACCACCAACTAAGCCCAAAATTTATATTGTTAAATAAGACATTTGTTAAGTGAATTTTGCCCCATTTTACAACTTTTCTTGCTACAGTTGTTAAATGAATCACAACAGTTGTTAAGTTAGTGACATGGTTGTTAAGTGAACTGGGCTTCCCCATTGATTTTACTTATCGGAAAGTCACAAAAAGTGATCATATGAGCCTGGGACATTGCGACTGTCATAAAAATATGAGTCAGTTGCCAATCATCTGAATTTTCATCACGTGACCACGAAGGTGCTGCAACGGTCATAAGCGTGAAAAACAGTCAGAAGTCATTTTTTTTCCAGTGCCATTGTAATTTTGAACGGTCACTAAATGAACTGTTGTAAGCCGAGGACTACCTGTAAAAGTCAATTAAGCAAGATGTGTTCATGCCCACCTGCTGGTATTTTGTAATGAGCCAACAGAGCAATCCAAACCTTTTCAAATGGCATTCTCTGAGGTCTTACATGGGTTCAGAAGTGTCCTGTTCCCAACTCTGAAGAGGTGTGCTATTGCTTGTGCATGTGTACACATACACACACACTCATACACAATTGCTGTTTAATAATCCTCAAAAGGGCACACTGATGCAAGAGCAATTTTGGATTTACTGGATTCAAAGCTCGTTTTCTCTTCTATGTAGCCCACAATTCTTATCCACTCCAGGTAATTGCATGCATATTCCCCTCCCACTGAGACCTATGGGAACTATTCTTTTGAAAACTGTGGAGGTGGGGAGAAAAGTACTGTATGTCCTGCTGCTCCCCACTATTTCTCTTCCCTCATTTTACAATTGTTCTGCAGTTTATTATTATCATTCTCAACCAAACTGAATAACAGATATCGGAAGGATTCAAAATGCAAATAAAGAAAAGGGATATATAAAAAAGAGAATTTTCTTTTGAATCCATAAACATACTGGTTTCTTGATGTACCTGCTGATTACATTGTCAGATACTTAAAAATGATTTAATACAATTTCAGTGAAAGCAAGTCTGCTTTATACATTGAAAATAGGACCATAACAATAAAGATAGGACCAAGGGACTGGTGAGCTTGTAGAAAAGGGAAAAACTTATTTTGAACATGAGACTGAAAACTGGCAAATGAAAACTGCGCCAATGTGCTTTCAGGCCAATGTTGCCCCCTTATTTGAAGTACGGATGGAGTTGTATAAAGATGACTTAAGGTATCGTCCATCGCTGGAAGTGGGAGCAGAACACGGTTTTTTGGAAATGGTAGAAAACTTAATGAATGATATCTACGATACAGCAAAGCTTATACCCCGACTGGCTGAAGGGAAACTTAGCTATAAGGTTAGTCCCAATCTATGGATCTTTTTTTCACCTGAATAAATCTAGAACAACTGATAACCACTCAGGCAAGAGTTGACTATTATTCTGGTTCAAAATGCCTCGAGGACATCAAACTAGGTTCCACCTGGCTTTACACAACTTTCTTATTGTTTGTGATGGGGCAAAGAAAGAGCAGTGAATATTTATATTTTAAAGAACTGTTAAACGTGCCCTCTCCCCCAATTTCTGCATACCTATTTTGAAGAGAGAACCGTGCAGTGATATATCTAGGGTTGAAAATGAAGATTATAACCAGTGGTGGGATTCAAATATGTGAACAACCGGTTCTCTGTGTGGATGCCGCTTCCTAAAGTCCATTCTGGGCCTGGGCAACAAAAAATTAGCTACTGGTTCTGCCAAAGTGGTGCGAACTGGCTGAATCCCACCACTGATTATAACCCATGTCCCTACAATGTCTGTTTAGGCAATTTCTAATTGAGCATCCAAGGAACTGCAATTAATGGGCACAGTAGCAAGCAGGCCCAGTAACAGTTCGCAAATCATGAGTGTTGTATATTGGTATTAATGCTCATTGTGACATCCTTCTCTTTTTACTTTTTTTTTTAAAAGGAGGGTTGAGTCAAAAGACAGCTCACTGGTCATCATCATCATGATGGTAGTGGTGATGATTTCCTGTGGGAAGGTAGTATTGCAGACATTCTTCATTCTGTTCCCAAAATAATTGTGTGAGCTGGGATGAGAAAGAGCAATGGGTGAAGAGTGATGCAATGAGCTCCACGATTGAGTGGGAACCTGAACGTGGACCTTCCCTGTTCCCTAATTCAACAGCTTTAGCAGTATATTACAGTAACTATTTTGCAAAAAAAAATCCTCTTTTACTATTAAAAACATATTATCCTTTGCAATATTTTCAAGTAATGCACGTTGGGGCCCCTAGGGATCTTTCCCCATTTGATTTATAATTTTTGTTCCCAGATAGAGATTTCCTGAAAATTTCTCCTATGGTTAAAAACAAAAATGCAGGAACAGATAGGCACTATGAAAGAAGTAACACAAGCTCTTTCTCAGTAGATAGCAAAGAAGCAACTGTCATATAGAACCCCGGAATACTCTAATTATTAGGTAACAAATAAATAAACGTTCATTTAATACAACACATGACTTCTTTTTTACAGGAGGCAACTAGTTAGTTTGTATAATTATCTAATGCCAGTATGGTCCTTGATGTTTGCAGACTGACTTGGAAGATATGGGAGAACTAATAGAGATGCGGGAGGAAGTGGCAAACATTGTGGTGAATGCCATGAAGCAGGGCGAGGAATATCAAGACTCCTTTGAAAAATACTCCTACCTTTGGATGGATGATCCCCAGGAATTCATGCAGCGCTTCCTCACTTTTGGCCATGCTCTCACACAGGAGGAGCTTGAATCTCACGCGGAAGAGTATTTGCCACATGTTGCACCCACTCTTGAGCAATTCCAGCTACAGGTTAGAAGAGGAGGGGATGGATATGTCAAGGGAGACTTTCATTCTTTATCTGGCTAAACCAGGGGTAGGCAACCTTGGCTCTTTTATGACTTGTGGACTCAACTCCCAGAATTCTGTGATTGAAGTCCATGAGTCATAAAAGAGCCAAGGTTGCCTACCCATGGGCTCAACCATAGAGTGTAATACTATGGGGATATCTCCTACCCTGTTTCCTTAACCCTGTAATAGCCAAATCACTGCTAATGGGGGTGTGTAAATAATACATATTGTCAGTGCTTTTTTTGTAAAAAAAAAAAAAAAAGGTGCCAGAACTCACACACGTCATATAACCCGCCTTGCCTACCCTACAAGGTTGCATCCAAAAAAGGTGCCAGAACTCTGTTCTGGGCGTTCTATGAGAAAAAAAGCCCTGCATCTTGTGCAGTAGTAGGATTCAAATATGTGAACAACTGGTTCTCTGTGTGGATGCTGCTTCCAGAAGTCCATTCTGGGCCTGGGTAACAGAAAATTAGCTACTGGTTCTGCAGAAGTGGTGCGAACTGGCTGAATCCCACCACTGATCTTGTGTCTTCTTTCAGTGGCTTCATTTCAATCATTCTCTTTCTATCTCTCTGTTCAGCCCTATTTGTTTTATAATGCCCCAAATCTGATTCTTAGAATATTGTCTCCTATCTTTGGTCTGTAAGATTGATTTTAATAAGAATGTGCATCTAGTGTCTCTTCTAATTTCTACATTTTAATAATGGTCACCACATAAATTATACAAATGCCCAATGGTGTTTTTTTTAACCTGAAAATTGTTTTGTCCTCAATACCTGTGCTTTCTTTTCTTCATCTTTTGTAAAGTATTTTTGCTAATCATCCACAACCAGAAGAGGGTGCTCTGTCCCTAGAAAAGATAGCCTCCCCCCCCCCACTTTTCAATTCTGCAGCAGTAATGGGAAGTTGACTATGCAGACTTTGTAGCACACATTTATACTCCAGTCACCTGTATGTCCTCCATACAGGTGACTAACTCTGAAAGAGTTAGAAAAGATAGGCAGCAGGAAGGTGTATGTAGAAATCCTACTCTACTAGGTCCATTTCTGTTCTGAACTTTTTTTTTTTTGTTTCCTAGATTGATACGTATGAAAAACTGTATGAAGAAGTGTCCAAGTTTGATAATACCAAAGTGTTCAATGGTTGGCTGCAAAGTGACTGTCGGCCCTTCAAGCAAGCACTCCTGAACACTATCAAACGCTGGAGCTTAATGTTCAAGCAGCACCTCATCAATCATGTCACTAATAGGTAGGATGGGAAACTATTTTGACAATTTCCAAACATCTGATAACACAACTCTCCCCCCCCCCCAATATGGATGTGTTCAAGGCAATCACAGTGATTACGTTCAGAAACTGGCTACTTGTAATTAGGAAGCCCACAAGTAGGACATGGGTGTAATAACACCTCTCCCACTTGAATTAGCTATCAACTGTACTGAATAAACACGCCAACTCTGATTGTGAAAATGTCACACAATATGATAGCTAGTAATTTCTGATGGCCTTATCCTTTGTCAATTTGTCTAATCTAGTTCTAAAGCTATCTGAGTTAGTAGCCGCTTCCACATGTTGTGGGAGGCAGCACCAAATTTAATTATGTGCCTTTTTTCTATTCTGTATCTCCAACTATCACTGGATGATTCCAGTGTTGGGATTAAAAGTTAGACCTCTGGAAAAAAAAATCTTCCTCCCCCAGATGTCTTCTCTCAGCAGAGAAAGACAGAAAACATGGCTAGGCTAAGAAGATGAGACAGCATGTTGCCTCTCAGATAAAAAAAAAATTACTCTGTCTCAGAAGGTATCATTGCTTTCTATGACAAAAGGAAACACTACTGACTATGAAAGCTGAAGATGTAAGTTTATTGGTGTTTATATAAAACCACTTTTTTAATTTGCTGTAAAATAGACTAACATGGCTACTCCTCTAAAGTTCAAATCAATGTTATTTCTGCATTGAAGGAAGCATTGAAGAGAGCCAGAATATCACTTTTCTGCCCTTTATAGCCTTCAAGAGCTTGCTACTTTCATGAAAGAGGCAAATGCAGGCTTAACTAAACCAGTAAAAGAAGGTGACTACGATGGGCTTGTTGAAGTGATGGCACACTTGATGAAAGTCAAAGAGAGACAAGTAGCTACTGACAATATGTTTGAGCCCCTAAAGCAGACTATTGAATTACTAAAATTGTATGGAGAAGAAATGCCTGAAGAGATCCATATGCAGTTGCATGTAAGTATACCAGCAGTAATTTTAACTAGATACAATTAGCCATTAGTTATCTTTTTTTTTAAAAAAAAAAATACTTTGGATATAGTATAAAATGGTAGGATTCCTTTTGTACAATATAAACAATCCCAAACATCAAATGTTTTTATATTTCCTATATGTTGGAATAGAAAGAAGTGCAGAACATTTAGAGAAAAAATAATTTAGGAAAGTAAATACCTAATAAAACTTTAAATTTACACAATCTGCAGGGATCCATTCTATAATTCTGTTTCAACTGTCTGAGATCCAGTGTGATCTGTCATAGATGTTGTATTGTGTACCCGTTTCTTTACTGTTAACTCTGCTGAAATCGGTATTCAAAAAGTCACAAATATAAATCGACCAAGTCCTCAATAAATTTTACATCCTCTTATTTAGCTATCTGACTTCTTTATTTTCTTTTTTTCTCCTCATATTACCTATAATAGTCTGTATTTATTTCTCTCATCCAAAGGTCTCTCACAGCTGCATGAATAAAATGTCTACTTTTATTTTTTAATGTTATATTTTTTGTCTTTTAGGACTTGCCAGAACAATGGAACAACACCAAAAAGTTGTCCTTCCAAGTCAAACAAAATGTGGCTCCTCTGCAAGCCAGTGAAGTCACAATCATCCGAAGGAAATGCCAACAATTTGAGGTATGTTTTATGATTAAGGTCCAACTTTGCTCAAACTCCCTCAAGTAACAATGGATACAACATAGATTAAGCAACATAGATTAAGGAAAGACACTTAAGATGGATACTTGCCACCCACTTGGCGGCAAGGTCCCGTTCCACGAGAGGGCCCCTTTTCCGACACTTATTTTCCAACCCTTCTGGGGGTTTGGGGTTTCCACTCATTAAAATTCTTGGGGAGAAAAGGAAACACCACCAGTTTGGGACGGTCTCTTGGACCAGCAGATTGCATCAGCGCAAGAGATTCGGAGCCAGGCTGCAAAAAATCAAAACAATAAAAAAACGAGACTTTTCAGTACAGATAGTTCTCGACTTACAACAATTCGTTTAGTGACCATACAAAGTTCAACGGCACTGAAAAAAGTGACTTATGACCGTTTTTCATAATTATGACGTTTTCAGCATCCCCGTGATCATCTGATCAAAATTCAGATGCTTGGAAACTGGTTCATATTTATGATCATGGCTGTGTCCCAAGATCATGTGATCTCTTTTGCGACCTTCTGACAAGCAAAGTCCATGGGGAAGCCAGATTTACTTAACAACTGGTTATTAACTTATCAGCTGCAGTAGTTCACTTAACAACTGAGGCAAGAAAGGTCGTAAAATGGGGCAAAATTCACTTAACAAATGTCTCACTTAACAACAGAAATGTTGGGGTCAACTGTGGTCGTACATCAAGGACTATCTGTGTTCCTTTGCTGCTGTCCGGTGGGTGCCCTACTTTGTACACATTGAGGTTGGCTATTTTGCTGCCTTTGCTCCCCTCTGCCTGCATCTGACTGCCATGCCACCCACTGAGCGCTCTACATGTAATGCCAGGTCCGTGGTAAATAAGGCCCCCCTCATACAAGATCTTATTTTAGAGGGGGGCGCGGACCTGGCGGGTATCACTGAGACCTGGCTGGGCGTTGAGGGAGGAGTCCCTCTTGTAGACATCTGCCCGCCGGGTTTTCAGGCATTTCATCAGCCGAGGACCCGGGGTAGGGGCGGGGGGGTAGCGGTCATT